TGATGGGTTAAGCCCAAATAGTCCAATTTATGTGTTAAAGTCCAACCCCAGTTGAGGAGTCCAACCTCATTTTGATTCCACCAAGCCCAAGACAGTCCAAGACTGGTTAGACTTCTTGCTTAGCACGTCATCAAGAGGAGAACACGGGAAGCTTATCTGTACCACCGAAGGAAACGGTCCAATCTTTGACCACGTTTCATGAAGAGCTCCTCAACCTCCTCTTTCCGTTGAGGATAAGTCGTGATCTCCACCAAAGAATAATCTCTTAGCTGCGATAAAGAAGCCTTGAGGATAAGTCAGGATCTCCACAAGAATGATCTCTTAGCTGCTATAAAATAGCTCCAATCTGGTAGAGAGAAAAAAAGATCATGCTCCATCAGAGACTTACAGAAGACGAACCGACTATCGGAGATTACTATTTTCTTTAATTCTCCATTCTCCCTCTCAAAGCTTGTATCTCCATTCTCCATACCTTTGAATAAATAAAAATACCCGGCGATTGAAGCCATTGAAGAGTGGACGTAGGTCGAATTGACCGAACCACTATAAATTGTGTCTTCTTTAATTTCTTCATTGATTTCATTGCATTTATTATCTACACTTGACAGGTGGTGTGCAAAATCATTTTTGTACATCATCAATAGTGAATTAAATCAGTAATTTATTTCAATAAATTAGATCCTAATAGCATTACTCGCATAAAATAATCGAGCTATTTGAATTCGACTTGTTTTGAATTCCATTTTTTTTCTTGAATAATTTTTTAGGTTTAGTTAAATAAACAAGCTCAATTCAATTCGATTATTAGTTCTACAAACACAATCTTTTATGCTAAACAATTTTACTAATTCACACTTATTTCTCTTTTTATTTTTTTAAAATTATATAATTTATAAAATTAAAAAAAATTATTATTTAAAATAAATATTATACAATTAGCTAAATTTTTAGTATTAAAGAATGTTTTCGGATGTGAGTGATTAATGAGTCATAGAGAAGAATTCATGTAGAACCAGTTATCCAACACACAAACACAATCATCCCTTACTTCTCTCTCACCGTCCCGTTCCAACCCTGCAATTAGCCGACAAACCTCACAGCCAGCAGGAGTCTATCTCTCTTTCACACACACAGACACACCCACCCACCCAC